GCCATACTTGGAATACTGCATTCAGTTTTGGNGGCATTTTTGCCTTCCCCCAACCCTGCTGAAGCCTGCAGAGTGCTTCTGGGGGCTGGGGGAAGGCAAAAATTCTTCTGTTTTTGTGAAAAGTGGCCTGGTTTTTTTTGCAAAAATGGGATGCGGGGGTGGGGCTTCGGGAGGCTGAAATGGCTGTATTCAGTGTATAAGACGCACCAACATTTCCACCCTCTTTTGTGGGGGGAAGGTGCATCTTATACTCCGAAAAATACTGTAGATGTTGAAATTATTAGCTATTGCTAGGGGAAAAACTTTTTTCTACTAATGAACATTTCCAGCAGAGTCCAGAACTACCTTCCATAGATCCAAATCTCAACAACTAGAATTCTGTTTAGAAATGAGGAAAATCTTGATTTTCCAGATGTTGAACTGCAACTTCCAGTAGCTCCAACTGGCAAGACCACTGGAGACATCATAAATTGTTCATGCAGGAAGCATGAGGCAAATTGTCTTTGTAACAGCCAAATCCTGCGCTCCATTTGCATAAAATTGGGCAGATGTTGCGTTCGGAATCTTTTTGCAGATATGATGCACATTTGTGTTTTTAGCCATTTCACCCAGCCATTTTTTTTCCTTAAAAATAAAGATCTGCATTTCTAAAAAGTTAACATTTGAGGGATGATAACGGAGTGGACATTCTGAGTTCCAAAGAATTTGCATTAATGGCTCTGTTGCATCAAGTTGGAGAACAATATCTCGTGGATCTCACAGGAATCATTCACTGGGCTTGTTTTATTCAACATTTTTATTAATGAACTTCATGATAGAACTGATGGCTGATAATCAAATTATTAGTGTCATAAAACTGAGATGTCAAAACAACACAATGAAATAAGAATCTAATCTAGACATGTTGATATATAGGGCTGAAAGGAACCAGATGTTAAGCTTCACATTTAGGGGAAAACATTGAATACACATAGAAGATGAGAGACAGTTTGGTATAGTTAAGGTACCAAACTAGAAATTAAGACTGTGACTTCTACTCCTGTTTTAGGCACAAAGTCAGTTGGATGACCTTGGGCCAGTCGCTTTCTTTCAACCCTAGGAAGGAGGCAATGGCAAACCATTTTCAAAAACATTGCCAAAAAAACTACAGATATTTGTCCAGGCAGTCACCAGGAGTCAACACTGACTTGAAGGCACCAAAAAAACAAACAAACAAACAAACAAACAAACAAAACCACAACCACATAAAAGATGACGGATTCATATACGTACACTACATCTGGGAAGAAATTGGGTGAGAGCATTGACGATACATTGAACATGAGTCAGCAGTGTGAGACACTTGCTACAAGGTCCAATGCATCCTTTGCATTGCATTGCTTCAAAGACACATGAAGTCATTATCGTATTTTGAGGAGTATAAAATGCAGCAGAGTATAGGATGCACCAAGGTTTTGAAGAGGCAAATATTTTAAAAAAGGTTTTTAGACTCTGCAAACCTCCCCAAAACGGGCCGTTTTTCATGGAAACGGGCCCATATTTTAAAAAAAGGGCATGAATAGCTTTCAGGAGGCTTGTAGAGTGCTCCTGGGGGGTGGGTAAAAGCGAGCAAAAAATGTCCCATTTTTCATTCGTTTCTGCCTTCCCCGGCCCCCAGGAGCTTTCTGAAAGCCTCCTAAAGGCTCTGTGCAGCCATTTTTGCGAAGAGGGCTGGGTTTTGGGAGGTAAAAAATGGTGTATTCAGTGTATAAGACGCACCCAGATTTTCAGCCCCTTTTTTGAGGGAAAAAGGTGCATCTTATACTCCGAAAAATATGGTTTTTCTCTCTCCTCAGCACTAGTCAGGCAATACCCAGAATATTTTTTTAATGATTCTGGACACACTATTTTCAGAAACACATGGACAGATCTGAGATTGTTCAGAGGAGACAATAGAACATAGAAGCAAAAGGCTAGAAGGGATTTTGGAGGTCTTCAAATCCAAACCCCTGCTTGAGCAAGAGTTCTTACACCATCCCAGACAAATGGTTGTTCAGTCTATTCTTGAAAACCTCCAGTGATGGAACACTACTTAATTGTTCTCACTGTCAGGAAGTTTCTCCTTACTTCTAGGTTGGATCTTTCTTTATCAAACTTCCACCTATTACTTGTTGTCCTGCCTTCAGATACTTTGGAGAATACGTCCTCTGTTCTCTGTACAGGGACTTGTGGACATGAATTATCTGATTTAGGCTGAAGGAGAGAAGGGGAGACATGATAGTGTGTTTATGTAAATTAAAAAAAAACCTGCACCTACATAGATTTCATTTAAATAGAAGAAAAAACTTTCTGATGGTAAGACCTTCAGAACAGTAGACCAATCTATCTCTAATTGTTGCAGGTTCTTGATTTCTGGGGTATTTTAAGAAGAGGCTGGGCAGCCACCTTTGAGGGATGGGACAGTTCTTGCACCCTCCAGAAGCCTAAACTAAGTCATCAATTCAATCAGAATAGAGCTGGAAGGGACCTTGGAGATCTTCTATCTAATCCAGCCTCCTGATCAAGCAGGAGAACCTTATACCATTTCAGACAAGTGACTGTCCAGTCTCCTCTTAAAAACCTCCAGTGATGAAGCACCCACAACCTCTGGAGGCAAGCTGTTCCACTGGTAAATCATCCTCATTGTTAGGAAGTTTCTCCTTAGTTCCAGGTTGCTTCTCTCTTTAATTACCTTATTTTTCAGAGTATAAGAGACACTTTTTTTCCCTCAAAAAAGAGGCTGAAAATCTGGGTGCATCTTTTTACACTGAATACAGCATATATATTTTTGCTTCCTGAAACCCTACTTCCTTCACCAAAATGGCCGTGCATAGCCTTTAGGAGGCTTTCAGAGAGCTCCTGAGGGAAGGGCAGAAATGAGCAAAACGCAGGCAATATTTTGCTCAATTTTGCCACACACACCCCAGCAGCACTCTATAAGCTTCCTAAAGGCTAGTCATGCCCTTTTTTGAAGGGGAAAAAAAGGACCCATTTTCATGAAAAACTGGCAATTTTGGGGAGGTCTGCAGAGTGCAAAAACTTTTTTATTAATTTGCCTCTTCAAAATCTTGGTGTGTCTTATACTCTGAAAAATATGGTAGTTTCCATGCGTTGTTTCTTGCTCTGCCCTCTTGTGCTTTGGAAAATAAACTCATCCCTTCCTCTTTATGGCAGCCCTTCAAATACTGGAATACTTTGGGGCACCTTCTCATTCCATAAGATGTATGGCTCCCGTCTGCTAGGAATTCCCATCTCCTTCTTTATGGCACAACCAACTCCACCAGTGGTGAGCAAAGTAACATACCAACTGAATGGCCACATTCAGAAATCAGTGGGAGAAGCTTGCAATGTACTTGCAGACCCTGCTGCTGATTGAAGAAAGGGGGATTCAACTTCCTAGCAAGGATACATCTAAGTGAGATCCAAATGTAAAAATATTCAATTAGAGTGGTAAAAGAAATTAATTTTTGCACATTAAGGGCTTCAGAAATAACACTTTCCTAATATATTCCAGGTTAAATCTCTAGCTCTTTCCCATTTTATTTTCATTTCTATTCTTTCCAGCTATAATCTTTCTTTGTATTCTGTCCAGCTATATAATCAATCAAGTATTTAATAATACATCTCTATCACTCTAAAGTGTTTTTTTCTTCTTCTATCAAAGCACTTGGTCTGCCCAAATATGGGAGGGAGTATACTGCTTCTCTTTCACCTTTCAGCCCCACTCCAGGAGCCTTCCAGGCAGTCGCTTACACGACAAATCATTTTGTGTTGCATTTTTGCTAATAAATGAATGAAGGGAGACTAATATAGATATATTTC